AAATTTTTTCCCAAAAAAAAAAAAATTCAAGGGGAAAAGGGGAAGAAAAAATGGGTTGGGGGGGGGGGGGGGGGGGGGGGTGAGGTATGGGAGCAAACGTGGAGAGTGAACGAGGTGCTCCGCACGAGGTGCTCCGAGCGGAGCAGCTGAAACGGACACAGAGGTGGTCGAGGTTCACCAACGCTGTTGGCAAATGCCCCCGCCAACGATCGGACGTGGTAGGGCGATCGGTCATATGCAGCCGAGGCGTGCCATCGCCACCACCCTACATGCGCGCACGTATTTTATATGCCGGACCCTTTCAATAGGCTGTACCTGGTACCAGCTTGGCGCCTTATCGGGGTACTGCTGTTGCACGGAAAGTAAATTCGGGTCATCTGTACAGTTTGGAAGAGGTTGCTATCGTTCCCCACTCTCCACATTAATTTTCTAATCCCTCTCAGTGTCTACGAGTGTGCTTCAACGTGTGCTACCCCATTTGCAAGTTAAAGTTTAGTGTGAGAGGCGTGAGAGTATTTCAAAAAAGAAAAGAAAAAGAGAAGGTGCTTCTTTGAATCTTTTCTGGACAGCTACAAATATTAATGTGTGTTGCCTTTACGCGTATAGATACAACCCAATATATACCCAGAGTGCTGGACCTATCGACCTTAGATTATCGCTTAAAACTCTCCGCGGCCTCTCTCTGCCTCTCCCCTCAAACCCGTTTACCCACCTATCCACTTATCACTGCAGCTGTGTATTGTAGGTGCTCTCTCTCACTCACACCACACTGAAATGCACTGCACCTCTCAATTACCATTTACTCACCCCCGTGATGTCTTTGCTGCACGAATCGCACGTGTGGTTGGAGAGGTCAGCGTTGGGCAGCATGTTGATCGCCGCTCTCCTGTCCTTCTCGCTGCCCGCACGCTCGCCTCCCCCCCCCTGCGGTCCCACGTCTACGTCCATCGCTCCTTGGCCATTGCTATGGACGCCTATGTTCATGACTACAAGTACGATGATTGGCTCCTTTGTCAGCAAAACCCTATGAAGTCCGTGTTGGTTCTACCGCAAGGGTAGATAGATGCTGGATGAAGTCACGCCTCTTGGTTACGGGGGAAACTGTGCGGATCTGTGGCCGCTCTCCTCTGCTCTATCGTCGCGTTCGTTGGTTCTTCCTGCTGTCGCAACAGCAACTCCTCGGCCCACATACTTGACAGGGGATCGACTAACGGCTGCGTGCGGGGGGACTGTTATTGCATCCGCCGCGCCCCTTTACAAGAGCGGCACAACAACTTCCAGGACCCGCGCTGCTCGCACACCTTGCTCTGCCGTGCATGTTGCACGTACTGCCGTGTTTCTCGGCAGGGTTTTCCAAGGCAGCACAGCGGCACTAGTCGTCCCGCCTCTCATCTCCAGTCTTCAGCCGCAACTCAAAAGAGGGCCAGGGAATGATTCCGTAAGAGCAGACGGGGATCTCATCTGTTTGCTGGTTATACACTGAAATCGCTCCGCTGATCGTTGATCGGGTGTGTACGTCGACCGCCGCGGCCGCAGCTCGACTAGGGATGCCTGCTGCTTCTGATGTTGAAAATGCTGGCGACTACTTCGAGGTGAAGCAAGGGTCCTCTGAGTTGAGGAAGCTGGCTTTCACGGTCGAAGATGGTGAGCTATATGTCTTCGTACGTTTCAGAGATCGCTGTTCGCGGAATTGCATAACGGTATTTGAGTCCATGCGTTTACAAGTCTACTGGTGTAGCACACCATCATGCATACAAGTATCTCCCTCTCTCTCTGTAACCGCCCTGGCATGTATGGCGAACCCTGTGTTGGGTTCGCACGCGAATGGTTGTTTTTCAGGAGTGTGCTTTCGATTTTCGGTGCGATCGGTTGCTGTCCTCTCCGCCTGTCTCACAGCTGCCTTGATCCGACGGAAGATATCACCCACATCGCACGAAGCCAACCATTGTATGCATAGAAAGCAATGTAACGGTCCCATGGCGTCACAAATGTTCTCTGAATGCACCAGATTATGTGTTTCACCGTCTGACATAGGAAGTTTTCTTCAATCCCCACTCAGGCCGTGTGTGCGGGGGTGGCCATGTAGGTCAGCGCGAAATACACCGACAGAGAACACGCCGTGCGAAGATACAGCTTCGTTGATTCCTCGCTGAAAAAATTGAGTGGTTCGTATGCTGCTTATGTCGTATCTTCTCGAGTCAGCTTGGGATGAAGCGTCTTCCCCACAACAGAAAACCAGCCTACGAAACGTGCACACACCACTACTTTTACTACTTATACTACATGTATGCATGGAACATCGTAAACGAGGCAGCGACAACTGCCGCGTATCTAGCCGCTCACTCGAACTGGCCTTGCCTAACAACGAAAAATCATTTCCAAGTGACCAGTTCCCCAGTAATCTCCACGCCACGAGGTCAATCTATGTAAGGGTCGGTCTTAACGAAGAAATCAGATCTCGAAATCACATTCAGATTTGGTTATAAGACCGGAAGATCCACAGAACTCGTTCGTTGATTGGCTGAAATGTTATGGAACCCGTCGAATCTTCAGGACTTATAACAGGACGACCCAAAACCAAATCGGGATTGGAAAAAAGGTGAAATCATTTAGTCGGATCCCGATTTGGGTGAACAGCGTCCATAGTTGCGGGACCACGGTCTACTCGCATACACGGCGCGTGCCCACCTACCCCCATCCACACGAACTCCATCCACCGCCGAGCACAAAGGAAAGAAAGAGCACAAAAAGCTAACCCAAAGGGAGGGTGACTGCGCATCGTTGTTGCACGTGACTGGTCCCGAAAAAAAAACGTGTGTGGGATGTGTTGGTCTGTGGGGCAATCTCCCGTGGGTTATCGAACTTCAAATGCACAGACGAATTGGCGGCTTTCCGTCGGACGAGGGTCGATTCAAAGTGTCACATGCATAGACATCGTGTCAGTACCGCACAGAGGCCATGTACGCGTTTGGTGTGTGCTTCTCGGGAGCGATAGCTCCCCCATGTGGTGTGGCCACGTCATAACAGTACGTCACAACAGCAATCTGGCAGTTGGCAAGCGGCGGACCTCTCGGGTTGTTCGTGGTGGACTGCAGAGATTCGTTTCCATTAGGCAGATCTCCCGTTAAGACACACAGGCCATTTCTGTCTGGATTTGGGTAGATGCGACTCTTTTATTCTTATATCGAAATGTGATTTCGAGATCTGATTTCTTCGTTAAGAACGACCCTAAGCTGCGGCGCATCCATCCTTTCTCCAGAACCATGGAGTCTTCGAAGACTACAACAGCAACAACAAGGACGTTTTTCGACTACGTTCCCCTTGCACGTTACCTACACAGCGAGCTACAGCTGTCCGGATGGCCCTTCGTCGAGCCTTGGGGAGACGGGCAGAACGAGCTGTTGGAAAGGGGGCGCAGGGGAAAACGGCTGGGTGCTTCTGAGGCTGTGAGTCCTCTTTTTGCGTGCTCCGTTGCAACGCGGCCATTACACTGCCTCGCGTGTAGTCATCGTTTTCTAGCACAATGATGGAAGAACGTGGCACAAATATGAACCCCAAGACCAAGATCACCTCCGACAAATTGATTGAAATCACATGCATGCCTTCCCCAAAACCAAACGTTGAAAATAATAATTAAATCCGATTTTGAAGAAGCGGGCAACCAATGTAAGCTGAAGGTGCATGCTGTTGTGGCGGTGTTGCTCTGCTGCACGGCGCCCTCTGCCCGAGGCGGTGTCGAAACCGCGCCCCCTTCCGGTTATCCATCCATCGGTCTTGAAAACGGCGAAACGGCCGGTAAACCGGCGGTAGTGTCCCCACACCGTACGTTGAATCAACAGTAAGCGGCCAACAGACCAATGGAGGATGGAGTTACGTGTCGCACGAGCCAACAACATGCCCCTTTGTCCCCGTTCTAGCAGGCATGAAAAGGCGTTGCTATCGTTTTTGAGGGTCCGCAACCGATCCTCTTCGGAGATCTCCATATCGATCTCCGTCCGGGGGAAACGACGGAGAGACTTCGTTGAGGGTGAGTTAAGCTCTTGTGGCCATTGCTGATGCTGATGCTGATGCTGATGCTGCTGCTGCTTCAAATTTGTCTCCCGCGCTGGTTGCTGGTTGCTTGGAACAGCCTTGTCACATGGACGGGGGAAGGGTTGGAGAGAGGGGAGATGCCGAGTACTATCCTAATTGCACCCCCGGTAGATGTAGGCTCACGGTTCACACTTACGCACGCACACAGTACTTCGCTTTCTGTGGCACAGAAACTTCCTTGCTCGCGCCCCCTCGCGTTTGTCTAGTTTTGAAGCCTACCCCAACGCCAGAGCTCCGCTACATTGGTTGCCGCACTTCTTGCAGGTGGTTCGAGTCTTGATGGTGGCGCAGTAAAGCGACAAATCCGACCGCCCCTCCTCGAGACCGTGTAAAATGGGCGACGACTGTTACAAGCAGCGTTTTTCCGAGATCCTTTCGGCCCTCTCTGTTGTTGACACCACTCTTTTCGCCCCATCGGGCGTGTGGTGTTGTTTTTTGTGATGGCGGTGTTTTGCAGTGAAGCGAGGGGTGGGACTGGCGCACGGCACCCGTACGGACGTGAAGGTCGGGCACCTTCCCTGCGTCTACGTTCGGGTCGAGTGCCGCCGAAGGAAGACGGGTTCCGGCGGCGTATCCTTATACGAGTGAGGCGACCCGAATACATGCTCGCTGTGCTATTCCCGCCATACGGGAACCGGTTCAACTGGACGTGCTGCTTGAATGGTTCATTTCTGCTGCATTGGTTCCGTAGTTCTTGTTGTCGCCGTCGTTGTCTATTGCTGTTGTCCTGATTTTTCTCTGTGTGCGAGTCACGGCCGTGCGTGCCGTGTTGGCTCCGTGTGTGCTTCACCGCAAGGAAGACACGCCAGCAGCGGACGGGATACCGACTGACGACAAGAAACAGTCACACGCACCGATCACGTCCTCGTGTGATGACCTACACTGTTGCCACCCGTAGTTGTTTTGCCTTGGAAGAGGAGTGGATGGGACGTACTGGAGGGAGGCTAGATCAATCCTGTCATGTTATCACGAACACGTACACTGACTCGGCGCGACGAGTTGGATTCGCTAGGCTTTGATCGATCCAAGCCGATTTTCGTGTCTCTCATTTTTGCCTTGCTCTCCTGCAGGCTTGTACCGGTGGGAATCCCAGCCAGGTGCGTGGGGCTTTTCATGGGACCGTGCATGGAAGACCTGACGTACAAGAGGTGAGACGAGTTACTGTATGTAGGGGACAGGAGGTGAAAAATATCGTGTCACGACCACACTGATACCCGAATCACTATCGACCGGCACGCTGCAAGTCACATCCATACGAAAAGAGACCTCGAGACATCGATTTTTTCCGTCGCAATACGATACCCCTTTTTTCTTGAGCCTGTCGCTGAAGACACGCCTCGTTTCACCTAGGCCCTACCCCACAACGCCACGATCCTGGTATGGACGATGTTTCCCCGTCTTCGACAAACCTGTCGCAGCGCGGAGCGTCTCTTGTTCTCGGCGGTCGCTCAAGACACGACTTCCGTTGGAAGCTCCCAAAAACCGATAACTGCGGTACCCCCGAAACGTGGCACGTGCCTATGCGTATTTTGCCCGACGCGGCCCGAACTCGCGTTTACCGAGTGCCAGGGCCAACGTTTTGAGGACTACGGGCGTGCGTGACGATGAGCACGCCCTACTCCCACCCGACCCCTACTTTTCGCGCCACACAACGCCTCAATCTCGCAGCCAAATACCTGGCAACAACCTCGAACCAAAGCCCCCAAAACAGGGGCAATCGACCTTCCGCTAACATTTGCATACCCCCCCCTCCCTCCTATCACAGCACGGAACGCCTCTTGTTCGGCCCATCGCTGAGGACGAGCCACGCCCCGGTCTGCCACCGCGCCGCGCTAGAGCGACTGATACTGCCGCCGTCCTTCCTCCGGCCCGCGGGGGGCGCCGTGAATCCCTACGACCCCGACCCCGTCCGAAAGGGCCCCGCCAGCACCGGCGCCGGCGTTGCGCACGCACTGTTGCATACTCACCGGTTGCTGTCGCCGACACCGTCGCCGCGGTTAGCGCCAGGAGGGGAAGGACTCCGTGGTCCTCATTTCCCGCCTTTTCCGGATGCCGCGACAGCCGCCGCCGCCGCTGCCGGTGCTACTTCTGGGGTACATTTTTTTCGCGGCGAGAGAAAAGACGAGCTGCCGATTGATGTCGGGCGGAGGCAAGGCCGTGGGGCTGTGGTCTCGTTTGAGCAGGATTACTCTCCTGCTTCGCACCCGTATCCCCCCCGCGGGGAAGAAGACAGCGGCGGCGGCGGCGGCAGCAGTAGCGCCGGAGTCGGCCGGAGAGTTGGCGTACCCCTCCCCTACCAGGGGATGACAGCACGGGCCTCCCATCATCCCTTTCGACACCTTACCCATGGCCCGGTTGCCAACGCTGCCGGTGTTGCTGGCACTCCTGCTGATCGCAACGCTGATCCCGGGAGGGAAAATGCAACTGAAGGGCGATTGGCCGCTCCTCGGCTAGAGCAGCAGCCCATGCCCCGACATTCGTACAGCAGTAGCGGTAACGGGGGAGGTCATTTCTTTGGGGCGAGGACGGGCGCCGGTGATCGACGACCATCGGGTGGTTCCGTCGCATCCGCGCGTCCTTTTCCGGTGCATCGGTGGGGCGTCGAAGGAAGGGACGAAGGCGGAGCGGGTGTAGATAGTAGTGGCAATCTCGACGGCTTGAGAAGACAAAAGAGCATCGGGAATGAAGAGAGGCGGAAAGATAGCTTTGGTCCTGGTTTTGGCTACGACGAAGCGAGGACGGGAGGGAGGAACAGCAGTCCCTACCCTCTCGGCAGTCATTCGGAGGAGGAGGAGGAGGAGGAGGAGGAGGAGGAGGAGGGAGACAGCTTGTCAGACTACGCAGGGTATTTAAGGGGGAACCACAGCAGGGACAATGCTCGGGTTTCTTCGGGTGGTAGCGAACGGGGTGGTGTCCAGAGTGGACCGCATCGCCATGCAGCCGTGGCTTAGTAAAATCCATCCCGTGTTTAATGAGAATACAGCGGAAGCTCGTATCCAGATGTTGGGTAATGTTTCTGAGTTTTGGCGGGTGGGACGGGGGGATATGTGAATGGAGGGTCAATACCACTCAAGGCACGTGCGTTTAGGGGGTGAGTATCCCAAGTAGAGGACGATAATGGCTTTCATTCTGCGAACCAAATCCCGCGGGAATAATTAAGAATACTTGTGTCGAAAAGCGCATTTCATGTCGGGATGGTTGATGGTTGAGCCGGTCGCCCCGGTTGTCTGATCCTGTAAGGGGTTGACTTGGAAACTCCAAGCGGCTGGCTGGGTGTTGAGAGCTCAATTCTTGGCGAGGCATGTCTCCAACCAGAACTGCTTTTTCGTGAGTGTTCTCGAGGGGAGTAGGACCTGAGCCCTTGGGGAGTCAGAATTTGGAAACATCATGTATCGAGATTATTTTCTGACTCCGGATCGGACCCGAGGTCTTGAATGAGTGAGTTGATTGGTCGGGTCGGAGACACTGACTGTACGGTGCACGTACACGAGAAGCATTGTAGGTGCACAAGCATGACCGACCATGAGAGCACAACAAAAAAAGAGGATTTCAAGGGGCAGCAAAATGTGTTCTTTGTTTTTTTCCTCCCTACATGTCAGGCAGAGGGTCTTCCGAAATCCGAGAGGGTCCTTTCGTTTTGAGCTGTGCGTCATGGGTGCAAGATAAGAGTTGATTCGGGTATCGCGGGGGGATGCGCCCGGGGCTTGACCCCGTCTATTGGCATCCAACGCGTGTACCGTAGGTGACGTAAGATAACACACCCCTTGGACCGATCCACAAAGCTCGACTACTCCACAGCAGAACCAGCAACGGCGCCGAAATGGCGGCAATGTCAACATGTTTCGGAAAACGCATCGTTTGAGTTTGGTGTCGTCTTCTTTGTCGGGTGCCTCGGATCAGACACGCTTGGCCAATTGAGACAGGAGAGAGGGGCAATGGCTGGCGGAACGCACGTGCGAAACCACACTCAGTTGACAGCTGCAAGACCAATTTCTATTGATGCGGCGATTGCAGTCACTTATTGATGCTCTGTTGCTTTAGCCAATCAGATCGCAGCAGCGTGGTGTAGAGGCTGCCCGATTGGAGAAATAGTTCAAAGCGATAGGGTCCTCAGCAGCAGCCCGCGGTAATAGTTCGGAATCGGTACGCAGGGAGGTTCATTAGGAGCACCTCCGCGACGTTGTCCACAATCATCACCACCACCACCACCCCTCGCAGTACCGTACACCCTGCCATCTACTTCACATTTCACCTGCGCTGCGCATGAACTCTGTAAAGAACGGGTAATATTCTCCAAAGGACAGTGTTCCATCACAGAACGTCACAAAATCTTAACTGTACACGTTCCTTTGACATAAAACGAAAAGCCTATGCATTCAAGTACCACCAACCGTCGCCTCAACCACAATTATACCTCCTGCCCCAAAAGGCTGTACAACACCACAAGTCCAGCTATCTTCAATTACACATACTGGGTACTACAAGTACACGAAAGCCATGTTGTTCTCCGAACAAACATCTCAATCAGACGATCAGACGATTTTACACTCTGGAAAAGTCAGTGGTGCAGCCCCAACAGGACGTGGCAGGCAAGCGAGAGCATGCCCACTACGCCCTCCTCTAGACTAGAGGTTTTCGAAGGCTTCTTGTTGTTCATCCTCCTTGACTATTAAATAATTCTTCTCCCAAATCCCCAACCGCAGCAGCCTTTGACAAGGTCCTCTGAGGGGGGACTTCTCTAAAATATCAATCAATACTCTTGTGTCTGTGCCAAACATTCGTCGCGTTTTCAACCATACGCTATGGTCCAAGGGAAAACACCGGCCACATATCGGGCACCCAGCACTACTAATCAGAGTTCGAGACAGGTTGAATATTCCATCTGTGCCAAGCGATTTCACCGGCCTTAAAAATACGGCAACCGGCCTTAAACAGGTACAGGTACAGGTTGTGCCTCTACTGCACTCCGGGCGCTGCACTAGGTGTACGACAGCAGCACTTCCGACAAGAACCGAACCAAGTTTCTCTCTGAGAACTTCTCGGGGAAAACTAGGACAGGACCGCCTGAGTGCACTTGAACCTCGTAGCTGTCCGACCTCGCCCTCAACACAAGCACCACGGTGCTCCACAGCCCCTGCAAGGTTAAGAACGTCGGAGAGAGGGAGGGGTCTTTCAATAGTGGACAAGGAGGACGGACAGGAAAACGTTGACCGCGGCATCGAGGGAATGTGGGTGCGTGGCGGGGATCAGGGGACAAACGTTCTTCTTTCGTTTCGTTGTGGCGGTGGGTACGTCTCCTGACAGAGTGAAAAAAGCACAGAACAAGAGAAAAATGTCGGCGAACAAGACTAAGAATGCTCACCCTATCGTGGAGCTCGAAGTGCTCGAAGTGCTTAACGAGCGTCTGGTGTAACCGCAGCAGGGCGGCCGCCTCCCGGTACACCGGAACGCCCGCAAACTGCACCCTGCCGCTCCGCAAGAGGTCGTCCACCTGGCATCAATCAGGCGCACACCGCAAACAGGGTACAGTATACCTTTAAGCAAAACAGTGACGGTTTCTGCTAAATAGATGTATTGTACTCTGCCGGTCTATCCCACTACAGCAGCAGTCAGCAACAGCAATAGTCGTTGGCTGGGATACTCGAACAAGAGGGATGGACGAAATAATGTTAGGGTCCGGGCCTTTCGTCGCTGGCTCGGCAAAAGTCATCTTCGTCCAGAAAGATGCCGCGTCCTCTGGCTTGACATCTGTGACTGTTAGAGGGCAGTACCGCCACTGTGCGCAAACCCGGCCTGGAGCAGTAGTAGACAAGACACACTTCACCAAACACATCATTGCCTGCCGTCACGGCCTACGTCCCTCTCGAGTACCGTATACCATGGTATCACTCCACACCACAAAAAACACAACGCGGATCACACACAGGAAAAAAAAAAAAACACGAAGTACGTGAACTATAGCAGGCCAGCAGCAAGTTGTACGACTGTAGATGAGGATACAATACGCCCTGCTACTGCTACTGCTACTGCTATACACGCCCGCGACCCTCTCTCACCCGTCGAGACCTCGCTTGCGAAGCAGCCTCGGCACCGCCAAACCTTCCCCTCCTGCCTCCGCCAAGCCCTCCCCCGAGGAAGCCCGATCCGGCACCGGCATCCCAGGGGTCGACGTGGTGGTTATCCCCCGCGTGGTCGATGGTGATTCTGCGGAGCTCCTCGGAGGTCATTCTCGGCCCGTGATCGTGCTCCTGTTGGCCGCGGTCGGTGGTTCTGGAGGCCCTGTGGTCATGTCATGTCATGCCATGCTATATCATGTTTTCGGCCGTGTCGAATTTTGCAAGGCATATGTACATAGTTGTGAGGCAGATTTCGTACAGGCGTTGTTTGAGCGAAAACACGTCTGCATGCATATGTAGGTGCGACGAATTGTAGCCAAAACGAACACCGTCAACCGACGTAGTGTAGGCGTTAGATCTATATTCCTCACATCATAGTTTTCGAAGACACACATCCAGGTTCTGGAATGGGCCTCGGCTCTGTTCCTGCACGTCACGTGCCAGCCAGTTTACGAAGGCAATTTTTTAACTAGCGAAGAACGCGCCACGCCGCCATACGGCCATTGGGCATCCCCCCAACCCAAAACGTCCATCAACCGACCCAAACCACCCACCGTTCAGTCCGAGTCCCATCTCGCCGCGGCCCCGCCCACCGCCTCCTTCTGCCAAGGCCGAACGCCTCCCCGTAGAAAGCCTCCTCCGTTTCTCCCTCTTTCACCCTCACGCCCTCTCCCACCGCCCTCCTCATCATTTGCTCGTCTCTGTCTTCTCTCCCCTGACTGCCACCACCACCCCCGTTGTCGCCGACGGGCGCTGACACTCGCCACAAGAGGCCGTCCAGCTGCCGGCGGAGCTGCCCGCGAAGCGACCCCGAGGGATCGGTGGAGAGCGTGGGGGGAAAGCGGAGCTCGGCGCGGAGCTCCACGAGCGAGCCGCCGCCGCCGCCGCCGCCGCCGCCGCCGCTGCTGCTGCTGCTGCTGCTGCTGCTGCTGCTGCTTCTAGTGTTGCCGTTGGTTGTGTCCTTTCCGCCCGATTGCTGCCATGGTTCGTCGATGTGGCTGTTGGGGCCAACGCTATCGGGGGAGGAGGAGGATGAGAAGGAGGAGTCCTGTTCGTGGTGGAAGAAGGTGAGTGAGTAGAAAGGGTCCACCGTCGGGGGCGGCGCCGGCGACCTTACGCTACCGTTGGCCGGATTCGCCCCTGCGGCCCCCGCTTCCAACGCCTCCGCAGCGTCAATCAACGTGTTGAGATCCTGCCGATGAAAAAAAAGTGAGATCGTATGCTTGAGGTTTTCAGTCTCTCGTTGCCTGTACTTCCTTCCTAACCAGTAGCGATTCCAAGACCCACGGCCCCGTCAGTTACATAGTGTGTACCTGGTACGTCAAACACGAGTGTTTTCGCCTGTCTACAATGTACATGGTTGTCGGTTGTATATGCGGTGCAGGAAGTGCTGCCGCGAAAAAAAGGCTGCCACATCTGGAAGGCATCCCGCAGGGGACGCCAGAAGACAAGACATGGGCTACAGCCTCCAGTTGCTGGATGCACTCGAGCGGTGCTGTTTCGAAAGCAGTGCGTTTTGAGCTGCCAGCGCAACGCATTGACGTCTCCACAATCAAGTTAGTTTGAAGTACTCTGTACACCCGGTGGAGGCTGCTCCTGTAACCACATGCAGCAGTGCAGCAGTGCTGCACTACTGCTGTAGGCCTTGCACACCAAGAAATCCCCTGACTCCATCAACGGAAGGCAAGGCAGTACTGTTTCGCAAGTCCAAGTGTGCTCCTGTACTGGTGAGTTCGTAGTCATTCCCCAGGGTGAACGAAGATAGTGGGGGACATCAGTCGACAAAAGAGCCAGCGTACAGCAGTAGAGCCACCAAACTTCACGACCTCGATTCTTCCAAACTGCACACCGCCGCATACACCAGACGGAGAGAGAGACGACTTTTGGATTCAAGAAAGTACACATCACCACCACCACTACTACAAAGACACCACACACCTTCAAGGACTTGGAGTTAGTGCTGGCCACGTCGGGGGGATGCTGCGCGAACATATCGGGATGCACGAGCTTGATCAGCGGCATCATCCGCTTGCGGACACTCACCCCGCCACCGCCGGCAGATGTGGAAAGCGCTGGAGCTGGCAGGCGGACAAGCAGCTCGGGGGTATACTCGCATGGATGGCGGCCGCGGGGGCAGCGGCACGCATGGGCAGGGAGCGAAGTTGCCCCCTTGCGTGTTCTGGTCAAGACAGCTCGCATCGGGCCCGTTATGAGATGTGAGATGTGAGATGGACTGCTGCTACTATAGAGGAGAGAGGGGAGCCAAGTTGGGGGAGCACATGTTGAACAAGCCAACAAGCAACAACAAGCACCACGGGAGGGGCAGCCGTGGTATTCCCCCTAAACATGGAATGAGGCGTTTTGAAAGAGCACAGTCTCACCGCACATCGTTATAGACCGTAGACCGTATCATACATGTAGACCCACCACACGACACGGTGAATCAAGGATGAGGTTCCAGTTCTCCTTGTGCCGTACTACTGTACTCACTTCTCCATCATCCTACGGTCTGTAGAAGTGTTCAAGACGTGCTGCGCCAAGCGCCGATCTGGGGGTCTTCAAGACGCGCTGCGGAGCCACAGGTATTTCTTGCGAAGGGCATGTGTATAGTCTACTGCAAGAGCCGTCACGGTGTATTACATTGTACGCACCGTCTAGTCTGCCCTTTGTTTTATAAAACATCTCATACGCAAGCACTGCTTTCGCCCGTAGCTAGGGTTGTTTTCAAGTCTCCCTAAAAACGGCACGATGCTCACAAAGAGTGTTGTGGTGCCTGCTCTTTCGTTGTTGCCCACTCAACACACCGATCGCTCCACAGCCCGCGAAAAAGTACGCTTGAATACACTTCCAACATGCCCTTATCCTTTTCGTGCAATCATTTGGGGCCGTGCACATGGATCAGCAAGATTCAAATACCTCTATTCTACCTCTTTTAGCAGCGGAACGACACGCAACAGCACGCGTCGCCAGACAGCTCAACGTTTGCCAGAGCCATCGAGTAGCTTCATCTCTCACCCCAGCTCTGCACGGATCGACGGATGGAAGGATGAACCGTGTACGTACGTAGAAGCTCGATTCACCCGCTTCTTGAACGGCGAATTGAATAAACCTATGATCAAGCTTCCCTACTCATCGGTGTCATGCCACAGATGCCACTCGAAATGCGGCATGGTTATTTTCAGGGTATTCGTCGGTAGCGTTTTTTGGGCGGTATGTAACAGTTTCGGCGGTAAGAAATACGGCGGTAGTTTTTTGGCGGTAGGCGGTATCTGGTTTTTCGGCGGTACCGCCTTCGGCGGTTGCCGGTAACGCGAATAATGTCGGGAACGCCGCCGGCGGTTCGCAATTGTCTGTCCGGCACAAGTTATGTTACAGCAGCGGTGTTCCGTTTAGTCGTTTTCCGGCGAGACTAGGTGCATATCTTTTCTGACAACTCCGGAGTATATTCTTGTGTTCTTCCCCACCATGTCACCCCAGAAATGCAAAGCACGCAATGTATGTAGACAAAGCGATTACATGTAAATTGTACACTTCGAAGTATAGTAAAATGACCGGCCTTCTGCAATACGAAAGACGACAGAAGCATAAGAGGCTGAGACACAAAATCACAAAATCACAAATCACCGGATGGTGTAGGCATGTTGATAATTTTTTTCTCATTAAATATCGGACCATCAGACCAACCAAGGACCGTAAAAACGTAAAAACGCTAAGACAAGTCTACAGCAACAAAGGGAATCGTGGCTTCAGGCTGGGGTGGTGGGGGTTGCAACACCACCTCCTCTTCTTCTTCAGCAACCACCGAATTGCCAGAAGAAGGCGTCCCAGCAACACCAGCATTCGCAGCCTCTGCACTATTAGAAGAAGCACTAACACTCCCGGAAAAATTGCTCATCGTTCTGTTGCATCACACGCGCTGCGCGGTGGGTGCGTGTGTGCATCTACACTGCTGCTGCTGTGGTCCATGCGACAGTGCACAGTGCACACCATCGATGTTCTACCGAAGAGGAACAAAAATTGAAAAATGAACTCCAGATGAATCGAAAAAAAACAAAAAAATGACATTGGCGAGAATTGAACTCCAGTTCTTCCCATCAGGTGATCATCCTGTTGAACCGTTAACCAACACTGACCTTTTGCCGGTACCTTTGTGGCGGTATCCAATTTGGCGGTATTTTGTGGGCGGTAGCCAATATGGCGGTACTATTTTGGCGGTAGCCAATATGGCGGTACTATTTTGGCGGTAGCCAATATGGCGTTATAGCTTTGGCGGTAGCCAATATGGCGGTATAGCTTTGGCGGTAGCCAACATGGTGTTTTTTTGGCGGTACACAGCACGGCGGACCTTTTTTGGCGGTACCCGGTATAATAGCGTAAAATGGCGGTAGTTTTTAAGGCGGTTCGAAATACGGCGGTAATTTTTTGGCGGTAGGCGGTATCTACTTTTTCGGCGGTACCGCCTTCGGCGGTAGGCGGTAACGCGAATTTCGGCGGTATAACGCCAATTACCGGATCCGCCTACCGTGGGCGGTAAAACACGTCGGGAAAATTCCCGAGGAATACCCTGGTTATTTTCAAGGTTGTACAACCCTTGTTACAGTAGCCCCGGCGAAAACTCGTGCAAACGATCGCGTCAACTCGTGAAGCTCAGCCCACACGGATGGAAGGAATAGGCAGCCCGGAAGGCCTTTCTCCCGATTCAGCTTATGCTCCAAAGTACTCGTTGACGAAAATATGCCCCCACGTCCCGCACTTCAGCCCTTGCTCCGGAAGTATGTATGAGGAATTCGGAGTAACGGAGCAGCAAGTCCACGACAATCTACGTGTATCAGAACCAAGGCCGGCCAAACACTACCATTTGGTCGCAACAAAAACGATGCTGATGTGGCGAATTGCGAACCAAGCGAATTGGCGGTAGGGAGCATCATCACTAACCGGATCGCCCAAAACAGTATTGGGCTGAACACCAACACGTAAACACGCCACCATACTTGTATACGTTAGAAAAATGTTTGGCGAGATATGTACTTCCGCCTACTCAGTCCAACCGTTAGACTCGATACGCTCCATGATTGCACTGAAGGTGGGTCGTGCATCGGGTTCTCCGGCCCAGCACGCCTTCAGCATATTAGCTATGTCGGCGGGGGCGTCGACGGGAATATCGGGGCGAAGCTCGTTCAACAACATCGCGGTTATACACTTCACGGGGATGCGCCACGCTTTCCCATGGGAGCTCCCGCGAAAATATTTCCCAGGCGACGATGCCGAAGCTGTAGACATCGCTGGCGAAAGTGCTCCCCGAGGCACCCAGAACCTTAGATTCGGACGGGAAAGTTGTTTTTTTTGTGGCGCAGGCGGTCAGCAAGGCGGTGAGGCAAATAGACGACGTCATGCATGAAGTATATATTGAACAGTGCACGAAGATACAGCAGCAGCGATATGGCGCATGTGGCCGGGGGGAGCTATCAACTTGTGTCACATGTACTATCCCGAACAAATATTTTGAAGCAGGCCTGCGAATCCCGGAAACCCAAAGGTACCTATCCCCACCACAGCAATGGGAAGCGTGGAAATGGGCTGGGCATTACCCAATATCGCACAAAGCACACCAAAATGTCGGGATTGACCTATGGCAGCGCACACAAGCAGGGGGTGTGCGGCCTTCGGCTCGACAACGCATCCCTCAGGCGCGCTCAAAAGGAAAGGGAAAGCGCTTCAGCTTGCTGAGAGCTCCAAACTCCTTGGAAAAAGTTCCTAACCGACCAAACCAAAAGTGGAGTAATTTCATGAATGCCCTAGAAGCGGTAGTGGGGCACATCTTTTTGAGCAAATGTTGTTTCGGGTCAAGTTTTTTAGAACAAATCGCTCGCCTTCACCCGTAGCTGTGGAATGTCATTTTTGTTCCAATCCTGTGGTTTCTGCTACGGAAGCAATCGAACCAAACAGGTTTTTTGGCACCGGATTGAAAGCGGTTTCTTGACCATGATATCTTGACCGCGGCCGATTTCTCTTAGCTCGCGACAGATACGCGCACGAAATCGCGGCGGTGCCTTCGCGTGACCCACGCCTCGACGGCCCGGTACAAGGAATTTCAATCGAAGTGGCACCGGTGTGAAACGCAAGCATTTTATCTTGCTTCAGCCTTTTATTTTATCAGCATCCGTTTAACGTGTTTTTAGTGTGTCTGCCTTTTTGCTCTTCATTGCCGCAGCTGAATTCTCTGAGCTCAATGGCGCCACGATAACGCCACGACGACGAGATTCGCGGCCCTCCCTGCGCACACCCTAGCCCTCGCCAGCACGCCGAGCGTTTCACCTCGCGTCGCAGGCAGCGCAGCGAAAAAGTACAAATCCCGAGGCCCCCCTCTTGGGTCACCCCTTGCATGTTTTCGCCACGAGTTCTCCGCAACCGAGCAAGATACAGCCCCATGCTGGCCGCGGCTCATGCACTAGGACAAAGTAGGCGTGTTGCGCAAGTCTCGGTAAGGACGGTGGCGAGGCGAGCGAACAAGGCAACGAACACCGTTTCGGCTGGATTTCCCGTCAAATTGCGCCACCCACAGCAGTACGGCACACGATAGTTTGCCGCATCGATAACGCCACATCCTGCTCACGAACGTCCACGAAACTCGGACAGCCAACGCTAACACTGTCCACACAACTGCTGTGTGCCAAGTTTCAACGCCGTCCGACCTGCACACCGCCCGCGACAGCATTTCGTCATCCCTCTGCTGACCTCGCCTGGCACAAAAGATCACACCCATGATTTGGACCTACATGTACCCATCGGCCCTCGACGAAACTCGCATCTACGTGCAGCTGGCACTACACCCTACGCGCTGCTCAGTCTTCGGTACACCCTTCAGGTCAGATCAAGGTGCACAAGCAGGGTTTGTCGAAGGGGGGGACGTAAACAGCAACGCATGCCCCGGGGGGTGCGTTTCCTGTCATGAGTGCCCCCCATGCTTGTGCTTGCTCCCCCTGGCGGCTCATCGCACCAAAAGCGTCCCACCCCGCTGCCAGCTGGGAAAGTAAGCAGCCCACGTTAAAACGAGTATCGAAAGGCGGACCAGCGCATGCCTTCAGCTTGGGCTGTCGACGCTTGGGACGGTTTATATATGTGTCAAAAGTAAAGGCCAGCAGCCCTCTTTTTCACCGCTTTTTTTAACTGTAGTCTATTTGGCTTCAATCCCTTCGGAGAGGCATGTCAAGTTTGGGGCGAGCAGCTTGTTGTCAGAAGCACAGAGAAAAGACGATTGACTCAAGACCTTATATCATTAACGAGTGCGCAGGGCATGCTAGCGCATGCACGCGGAATACACGTATCACAATGATACACGAAAACCCCGTAGATCTCCGTAGATCCGTATCGAGTGCTGAGTACCCCCCTACTCGGTACTCGATATGATCTAGGAAACTCTGCAACTATCACAAGGTAAAACGGCGATAAGGTTAATGCCATCCAATCAAACCCCACAAAACATAGTTCTGTGACCTCCCCTGAACCTTACGATGTCAAACTCATTTTCCTTCGGAATAATGTCTCAAGGGCCGTCAAGGTTAAACCAAATCCTTGCTCCAAA